TCCTCCTCCTCGTCCTCCTCCTCGTCCTCCTCCTCGTCCTTCTCTTCCTCCTCCTCCTCAATCCTCCATCTCCCTCCTTCCCTTCCTCAAACTATGTTTGGTTACTTGTGTTTATTCATAGCATTTTTGTCATTCCTCAGACTGGGTTCGTAGGTGAGGGTATAGAAACATCGACAAAGTTCACAGACATCGACCTGAGCGAAGCGGTAATGATCAGTCACATCTTTTGTTTGTTTGCTAAGGGAGAAACATCCAAAAAAAAATTGGGAATAGGGGGTAAAATAGCATAATAATAAGAGGAGTTTCAATGTTGATGGTAGTGGTCTAAGTTTGTCCTTTGCTGTTGCAGGACTGGTCTGACTACGACGAAAGAGCACAGCAGTCTATCGGAATCTACGAAGTCGCTTCACAGTTCATCAAAGCTGCTTAGACATGACGTCATCACAAAAAGGGCCACCGATGATGTCATCACATGAAGTTACCAAGGTTACGGCACTGACGATATGTGGACGACATTTAACACAAGGAATATATGATGTTTTATATAGTGTTAGGAATAAAGAATGTTATAAAAGTATGTAAGAAAATTAAGAAACCATATATATAATATGCCTTTGGTATTTTAGATATTAGATTTCCAATTGAAAAATATCCATTTTTACCGACAAATTTAGTCAATAAATGGTTCATATTCTATTACATGTTGAATGGATTAATATCTGCTTTAATATCAATAGTTATCCAATCCATTTCAGGTACATTCTTATTCCTATACGATCATCCAATCCATTTCAGGTACATTCTTATTCCTATACGTTCATCCAATCCATCTCAGGTACATTCTTATTCCTATACGTTCATCCAATCCATTTCAGGTACATTCTTATTCCTCCTATACGTTCATCCAATCCATCTCATGCAGGTACATTCTTATTCCTATACGTTCATCCAATCCATTTCAGGTACATTCTTATTCTTATACGTTCATCCAATCCATCTCATGCAGGTACATTCTTATTCCTATACGTTCATCCAATCCATTTCAGGTACATTATTATTCCTATACGTTACGTTCATCCAAACCATTTCAGACCCATTCTTATTCCTATACGTTTAGTAATCCCATCTAAATTAAGTCCATTCTTATTCCTGTCGTTCATCCAATCAACGAGTATTAATTTTTCACACTTAATTTCTATAGCTTATTTTAGCTTAATGACATAAGTTGAATGTAGGGATGGCTTAATTTTTTTTGCTTTTTGTTTCCTTAACTAATCCTAATTCAAATTAATTGTTTCATAAATGGCTTTCAATTCTTTAAAAAAAATAGGTTTGTACTTCAGTGGCTTTTCCAGTACAAATAAACGCATTTTACTTCGTACAAAAAAACATTACACTGCGTATATGTATATATTTTCAAGCTGCAGAATTTTTAAAGCTATACAAAATTAACGTAAACGTTTTTACGAGCTGCGAAGACTTGAATTTGAATAGACTATAAAATAGAAATTCATGGAAAATGTCAAATAAARGATCGACACGAAAGCTTTCCGGAGAACAAAGACTTCTACCAGTTTTTGAAAAGCAGAATCGTCTCCTTCAAAAAGAGCTATCTTCTCTAGAAAAACAACATCGCAAGGTAGTTAAATTTTGGGACAACAACCAAAGATACTTTACGTACAAGACGTTGGAAAGGAATTCTAAAATGACGAGTATTTTGGAAAGTAAACTTCAATTTGCTGAAGAGAAAAATGAGTTAGAGAAAGCGTGGAATAACAGAGGAAGAAGGAAAACAATTTCTAATTTGGAGCCTTTTTCAACTGCAAAATTGGAGAAGAAAGAGAGATCTCCCAGAAGGCCTAGATCAAAAAGCTTGCCTCAATCATTCCCAAAGCCTAATTTAAAAAGCGAGAATGAAGGCTTTAGTCAAGGTATTTTTCACACAGAAATTAAATCTATTGAGCCGTTTTCAAGAAATTTGGGACCAGCGAGTTCTCCAAGAGGTAAAAATGCGAATAACATGAAGTTGAATATCGTAGTTAGAGATCCCACGGTTGAGGTGTTGAACGAGGAAGACGAAATATGATGATTGCTTGGCTGGGAACGTCCCTCGGGATACCCTCGGGTATGGATACAAGGCCTCGTAGCACAAATGCAAATTACCGTGTCAGAAGACATGGCAAAACTCGTAACCGTACTGTAACGGTGCCGTATCTTACTGCAGTTGAACTATGCGTTGATACTGGATGAATATTAAGCTGGACGAAAATGAAAAGCCACTTCATTGTTAAGGCATGTTGTACCGTTTTCTATACCTGAGCCCAGTACGAAGGCCTGTGGATAGCGCTATCGGAAGGATAAATCTTATGCAATGGATAAATTTATTGGAAAACAGCATCGACTTACATCCACAGTGACACCAGAACGCGAGATTAGCCTCTTATAAGTTATTTTATAATAACAATAAAAATAGTTCGGGAGTATATAGTTGTACGTATTCTATAGTTTAGCATTCTATATGTAGTATTATTCTTTTAATTTCACTTGATCAAACTATACATTTTACAATCTTAATCAATTAATGGATATCAAATCACTTTAAGTTTCTTTTACGACTGATTTTGATTATTTGCAGTTTTTCAAATATATTTCATTTATACATAATAATAGTTAATGATCATCCTTATAAATAATAATTAATTCATCTGGTGCTTGTTGAGCAAAATAGCATTTAAAAAGCTGATATCAACATAACCAAGATAATCAATAATGATTATTAATTATTGACAACCTTAACGAAGTAATATACATTTCATTCTTAACGTTGAAGACGCAATGGAATAGCTGGGCATACTATATAATTCGTTTCAATATTGTTATTTAAGCTGCCAACCAGTTGACAATCCAACCAACCAACCAATCGAGGTCCCTTTCCTTTTCTATGGTCTGTACTCTTATCGAACATGGAATGGCGTTAGCATATGATCCAAACTCAATTGGTTTCACTGCAAAGTTTCGATGAGAGTACAGACCATAGAAAAGGGACCTTGATTTTTTTTTTCTTTACCCCAAAAAAATGCAACAATAAAGACCAACGGAAAGAGCGCGTGCTCATTGACGTCAGCTCATTGGTCTGTCCTCTTATCGATGATGAAAATTAGCACGCAAGGAATTAATAATCTATGGTAAAAATATGTTTAAAATCATATAGAAAATATATGTGGATACCCAATATTGAGCATTAGACAGGTCTCTAGGGGTGTAGTATCCACCATCTAAATGAACAAAATTGGGTTCTTATCTTGGACCCCTATTGTCTTGACCTTCTCACTTTGGGGTCCGGAGGTTGGCACACTGGCATCACTGACAATGCTTATCATGTTTATATACATAGGGCCCACCTATATAAACAAACTATAGACAACACTCGTTAGCTTGAACATAAACTCAAAATCTTGCATCCTGATGTATTGACCTTGACCTTGGGTCATAGTTTTCGTTGTCCTGGCAAGAAGGGGTTTGGCTCATGAGGGTTGATGGTGCCGAGGGTGTGGTTGACCACACGGTGGTGCGCTTCATCAGCACGGATTGCTAGAATGACATCTCTCATCATTGCATCCTCCTGTGAAAGAAACAATAATGATTGAATGAAAAGTAGATGGGTGATCAGGGGCTGGCATGGTAGGTGGATTGACAGAGGCATGGATACGTAAATGAGTGAGTGGAGAGATGGATGGATGGAATAAAGGATTGGATAGATATTTACATTAGATCATCATCATCATTATTATTATTATGAGATATATGGATGGGCAGTTCAATGAGGTGGATAGGTACATGGGTACAGTTGGGATGGATGTATGCATGGATGCAAGGTGATAGGGCAGTTGGGATGTATGGATGGATGAAAAGTGACAGGGGAGTTGGGATGGACAGTATGGATGGATGAAAGGTAACAGGGCAGTTGGGATGGATGTATGGATAGATAGGTGAATGGATGGGTGAGTAGGAAGTAATTTTTTCATATTCACATACCCCCAATTTCCAGTAATTAACAGCAATTTGGGGAGCTTTCATCTGCTCCCATTTTGGCAGCTTTCCTTCATCAATGCACTAATTAAAACAGAAAATATATCTCATGATTACTGCTGTGTCTGCTACATTTTTGATAATCTAATAACTTATAGACTGTCATTTGCAAGCTTCAACAGCATCATCATCATCATAATCATCACCATCCTCATCCTCATCATCACCATCCTCATCATCATCACCATCATCATCATTAACAACAACACCATTATCAATGACAACAAAAGCATCATCACCATTACCATCATCCATTACTATCAGTATCATCCCGGCCACCACCATCATCACCATTGCAATCATCACCACCATCATCATCATCATCACCACCATCATCATCACCACCACCATCACCATCACCATCACCACCAGAATCATCATCATCATTATCATCACCACCATCATCATCACCACCACCATCACCATCACCATCACCATCACCATCACCACCAGAATCATCATCATCATTATCATCACCACCACCATCATCATCATCATCACTGCAGCATCGACCAATCACCATAATACCATCAACATCTATCATTAGCTTTAACATCATCATTTCCATCATTTTGATCTATTAGCCAGTTTTCTACCTTTAAGCAGTAAGTGTATGTCTTGACTGCTTCTTCTTCCAGGTAACCAACAAAACGATGACAGAACCGAGGACTTATCATATAAGCAATAAAGAACATATTGACAAACACACCTAAAGAATGAATAACTTTTTTTTAAATACCAACCAAAAAAATTACCCAAAAAAAGACTACAAAAATTGCAGGGTTGAATTAAAACATCAAAACTAAGGCCTAGGGCAAACGTTGAACTTTTCATGCACCGAACTTAATTACATCAAAGAATGCCACCTCATTATTACCTGATATCCATTGTTTTTAATGAGTTGGGTGCGTGGAAAGTTCAACGTTTGCCCTAGGCCTTAGGGGTATTTGATAGTCCATATACGAGGCATTTGGAAAGAATTTGCATACAGACAGGTATGAAGGCCATGACAAAATGCTTGTTCAGCAACTTGAATCGATGTTCAAGAGTGTAGTTCCAGAATTAATTATCCATACTCTCATGGAGGATTATTTCAAAGACCCCCTCACCCTCAGAAATTCCAATTTTCTTCTATACGAACTCTGTAATTTTTTCTTTCCCTGACCCCCTACTCCTCAAAAAATTCCAAATTCCTCCATGGGGGGTGTGGATAATTTCTGGAACTACACAATATGTGTAATATTAGCCTTATCAACTGTTTACCCAGAACACCTTTTGGTCATAGTTTCAATGATTGAACTTTTTCAACCCCAACAATGTTTCTCCAATTTCAAGTATACCAGGCTAAGATATAATCATTATACCATACCTTGTGCTGCGATGATGACTCCTCTAAAGAGGGCACCTGGTTTCTTCATTTCGAGAGCTGTCATTAAATGCATGCGCTCGTTCTCTGCCTCTTCTGCAAGCATTAACAGAAGAATTAACAAATGAACAATGGTCATTGTAAAATATATGTTTGCATGACGACAAGGACTAACCTAACAGTGTATGGATCCAGCCATGGTCACGTGACAGGCGTCGTAGGGACTTGAGGTGTCTTGCCATGCCTCCTATCATTCCTGGCACACCTGCAACAGTCTCTAGCATGATGATACGACTACATAATGAAAACAAGCCTGTCAATTACTACCCATTAATCATGTTCAATTAAGTTATGAAGAATGAGTGATATACCTGCAACCTGACCAACTGATCAATCAAAGGCTTACTGACTGACTGACTTACTAATTAACTAACGGGCCGACTAACTAACTGATCTGCTGTCATTTACAGACTGACCAACCAACTGATTGGCTGACTGACTGACTTACTAATTAACTAACGGGCCGACTAACTAACTGATCTGCTGTCATTTACAGACTGACCAACCAACTGATTGGCTGACTGACTGACTTACTAATTGATTAATTAACGGGCCAGCTTCATGTAACTGACTGACTGACCTAGTACTGAATGACCGGCCGACTGTCTAGCTGACTGTCTGACCAATCGACTGACTGGCTGTCCAACTGAGTGACTGATCAACTACTGACGAATTATCTGCATGATGACAGATTATTAATATTGCCATATTATATACTTACTTTAACCATTTGTTTTCTGTCATGGGTCCTATCTTATAAAAAGAAGCCAAATCAAAGGCTGTGCGCAACAGCTGCACGGAGTAGTAAGCTACCTGATGGTTATAAATATAAATTATATATTCTCCAATCATTGCTTAGATAGCTAGGTGGCTGCATGCATAACCTGGAGAATTTGATGTCGACTAGTGCATCAAAAATGTCAATGCAAAACAATGCAAGGTATAGATATTTCAGTTCTATACTCATATTTATATTTTACCCGGGGGGGTACTCCCCTATATTTGCTATACGGGTATGTGCCGCCCTATAGGGTATGGTTTTTCGGCTTTTGGGTCTGGGGTAGGGTCTCATGTTTTGACATTTTGTCTGGGATAGGGTATCATTTTAGTCTGGGATAGGGTTAACGATTTGGTCGTTTTCGTCTGGCTAACAGGCTATGCTTTCTGCCGACACAAAAACAATAAAAATGTTAGTAAATATTGTTTGCAATCGATTGTAAAACCTTATTTTCCGTCTTTTAGTCTGGGATAGCGTGTACAATTCCTAGTTTTAGTCTGGGAAAGGGTATGTAAAATCAAAATTTTAGGTCTGGGATAGGGTCAGGGTTTTGAGGTCCTGGCGGCACACCCCTACCCAAGTTGGAGTGGTAGTACCCCCCCCCCCCCGGGATATTTTACAACTACCACTCCCCATATGGGGCTCTTCCATGAGATTCTCACTCAACTTGTATGTTGATTTTTACGGAGGGAGGAAACCTGAGAACTCCGAGAAAACCCTTGTGGCAAGGGAGAGTACAACACATCAAACAAACTCAACTCACATATGATCCAGTCTGAGCCGGGGCTTAAACCTGGACCACAGCGGTGAGAGGTGAGCAGTAAACCACTTAGCCACTACGCCACCCACCCATGCAGACCATATTTTCAATAATACCTTGTCAATTTTGTCTTGTGGTTCCTTGTGAGTGATTTTAACCTTATTGACATCTTCTTCAGTCCTGTAAAAATAAAAAAAATAAAAAATAAATGAAAGAGATGCAAGGGACATGAACTAGCATGTTCAAACTAAATAGTAAGCACTAGCACATGAAATTACCTCTGCATTGCCCTTTTTCACCAATGACACAATATGACACATGTATGATGGCGTCATTTGACTCCCACTACCAAGATGCTTTGCACGCGTTCTTTCTYATTTAAATTTGCATTCCCTCATGAGAATAGTAAGACAATTGGTGCTAATTAACTGAACAAAAGAAAGAGTGCAAGGGAGTCTGGTAGTAGAGGTCAATGACGCCATCATGTAAACCAAGGGCGTATCCAAGGGGGGGGCAGAGGAGGGCTAAACCCCCCCCTCAGCAGAAAAAAAAACAAACAAAACTGAAGAATTAGATGCTTTTTTTATTGTTTTCCGTTGTGTTGCTGGAAAAACCTCAATTAGCAGCCCCCTAAACTCAATTAGCCCCCCCCTAAAATTTTGGTTGGATCCGCCCTTGCAAATTAAACGTACTATTTTCTTCCATACAAACTCTGTAATTTCATTCTTTCTCTGACCCCCCTACCCCTCAGGAATTCCAAATTCCTCTGGGGGGGGGGGTGGGGATATGAACAATTTTTGGAACTACACTTAATTTAACTTCCAATTTATTCCACTGGGGATGGGAGAGTTAAGCTTGTCACTGTCTGTTTTAATTGTTTTTTCAATTTTAATAATTGTTRTTGTTGATATAAATTTTTTATATTTTACTTTTATAGTAATATTTACCAAATTGGGTGAGGCAAAAGGTAAGGGCTGTCCTCTTTCTTACTGTCCTTACAAGCTGCATCATTTTGAGATTCTTTGAAGTGAGGTAAATTTTGACAGCAATATGAACTCGTATACATTGTGCGAACCTAAAAGATGCAAAACAAAGATTATCAGAATAAACATAGAAAACTTATTCTCAAACAAAATATATGAATAAGTCACTTGGACTTTTATCTCACAAAGGAAGCTTTTGAGAAGCAGAACTCAAAACAACGTGTAACAGCTTCAGCCATATTTGAAATCTCAGAATGCAAGTCAAAGTTAAATCAAAATAAAGTTTCAAATTTTTATGCTCTTCAAATTGACGTTAAACTTCTCCTTACTCCACATTCACTAAGGAGGCTGGAAACGGTTTTTTCTTGAGCACGCTCATGCTCTAGGTCCAAGTAGATCGAACTTGCAAAAGGAAAATTTTTGTACTCATAAATTTTATATTCAAACTGTAAAAAATCGAAAATTCTGTGGTGAAATTTCTTCAAATTTTGCATAGGGCTTTAGTTTATGTTTTCAAAAACTTAAGGAAAATTTTAAAAAATTCTGTAAAAGGGAACTATTCCAAACAATTTTTATTGATTTTTACAAATTCCCTCTTACAGAATCTTTTCTTTTCTTGTCAAATGGGAGATAATATGATACAAAGTTGAAATATTCCAGTTTTAAAAAAATTTCACCATTTGGTTCCTGAGTTATGATTTTTTAAATAAACATTTTTGATGGCATACCAAGGGTTCTGACGTTGTCATAGCAATGTCTGACGTCATTTTTTCATGCTCATTGTGATCTTTYGTTTATGGTCTTTGGCTTTCCGGGTTTCTTTGCTGTCATATTATAGCCATAATAATTTTTTTTAGCTCATAATGTGAAGGCACAAAACACTTTCCAGCATTCTTAATATGAAATAAATTCCATAGAAATTCGCTTATTCATTTAGAAAGGTTTTGTTTGATATGGCCTTGACCTTGTTATTATGATTAGCTATC